TCAAATAGCTCTCAAAAATTCAAAAACCAGGAGAAATTTGGTTTTACTTACAAACATCTACATGTAGAGTTTAGGCTCCCTAATCTTTGTAGCTGATACCAGTACTATCCCTCTATGACGTTGTAGTTGGTGTAAAGTCAGTAGATTAAAAGGACACATACAGAACTTCAAATGTGCTCCCAAAGGGATTCTGATGAAGAATAATTAAAATATGGATGTTTCAGAAGTAACTCTCAAGCACTTCAACGATCTCTAACATTTTGTCACTTTGTGCTTACGACAAATTCCATAGTCTCATGGCTTCAGTTATTTTATCAAGTTAAACCACTCCTTCTCTAGCTCTAACTCCTATCTCAAAGACTAGTTCTGCATTTCTACCTGGCGGGTGAGTTTCTTTGCATAAATATATACTTAACTAAAATAACTAGAAAGTTTATTAGCATAGACTTTTAAACAAGTTCTCAAGGGATAAAACAAAAACAATTTATAGAAAGTAAAAGTTTTAACTTTTTTTTTAATCAGCTAGATTTATCCAAAAATAAAATGGCCTGCCCTGAAATGCCCTAAGCTTCATAACCTATGTAACAAACCTGCACACCCTGCACGTGTACCTTGGATCTAAAAATAAAAGTTGATGAGAAAAAAAATCATAATCTTGATAACAACTTGCCAGAGGATAGAAAAGTAGAGATTCTAATATCACATAATTGGTCAGACTGGATTATCTTCCAAGTCCTTTTAATCCTGAGATTTTATGATTCTATAAAATTGTTATTTTCTTCTCTCATAACATCATATTTAAAAAATATTTTTCTACCACTAAAGCTTATATGATGTACCTTTTTCCCATTACATATAACACCTACCTTTAATTCCTGATGCATTGCTCAATAATCAATTGACTTCAACTTGTACATTTGATTTATTTCTCTTCATCTTGGTCTTTTAAAACCTTTTCCCCGTCAGTAATTTTAATGTTAGTATGTACAACTTATTAATTCCAAATAATTATGAAAAATATCCTTAAAAGAAGTCAATAATCTTGTGCTAAATTCAGCCTATAAAGAACCATTTGTTTGTATTGAATAGTTTAACTCTGATTGTCTCAAAATAGCTCACACAACCTTTGATATTAAAAGACTTGTTTACTTCAAAAAGAAGCTGAGGTTTCATTTAGTAGATGCCTATAAAGTGCTTTAAAATGTTTTAGTGAAACGGGATATAAAAGATCAATGTCTAATTGAATATCTTATAACTTCTTCATATTTATAGCTTGGTAAATCTATGTTGATTCACTACATTTTATAAGATGCTATTACAAAGACAAAATTATCAATTGATTTGGAACTTTTTAATGACATAAAATGTTTCAAAAGTGTTTCTCCTATGGAGATATAGAAAGATAAATCGAAATAAACATTTCTGTAATATGTAGCCCTCAGTCTGAATTGTTCAATCTTTTGATACTTTCAATAAATACTAATAATCATCAAATACAACACGACTAAAATACTAATTCCTGTTTTATCATATTTTTTATTTGTTAACGTCTACAGGCTATATTCCCATTTATAAAATTGTTTGTAACTATATTTTCAATTGTTTCAATGGTAGTATATCAAAAGTTAAGCAAATGAGGAGTTGTGTGGTTTTGATGGTTATCAAACATGTACTTTGTGGACCTAAACAGCATGTAAAATTAACAAAGAGAATAAAAAAGATAGGTTTCACCAATGTTTTTACAATGCATAAAAACAGATGAATCCAATATGTAGATGACCCAATATGCTGTGCATAAGCATAGATTACCTCAACTGCATTTAGGGTTAGGAACTTTCTTGAGTGACAACTTCATTATACAACAAACAGTTCTCTAGCCCTAGTCTAATCAGTAGTGAGTCTTTAAAAAGATGTGTTCATTTTATTTAAACCATCAAAATGAGCAAAATACATGCTAGACCAAAAATAAAGCCTATCTTAGTTATTTTAATATCATTGTTTCTCTCTGAAAAATGATGAAATAGTTAAAAGGAAACTCTTTGAAATATTGTAATGTTTATAATTAAACACCAATCAGCAATATAGACATAACTAATACCTTATTGAACTAAAAATGACATTCTATATAATATTTTTATGTTTTCCTTTTATCCATTATAATAAAGAACACCTTTTTTAAAAAACGAGAGTTCTCCCTTTTTTACAATGCAAAAGACGTTTGGTTAAAATAAAACTAGGACATGTCTGCATGAAAAGCACAAAAAAGTCACAACATAAAATCAAGTATTCATCATAATCACTTACTCTACCACATTTTTATCTGGACTGAAGTATTTGTGTGAGGAGTATTCATTTATAACTCTAACATCCCATCCTAGCTATTCAATCTTCTGCAACTCCCCAGTACCATCAAGCCATATCGACATCTGCTCAGAGTAAGTAAATTAATATATTCAGAGCTCTCTCGCCAAAATAACCTTGAAAATAGTTCCAAAAAGTTAAAGAGATTCAGTTACTTTAGCAATGATGTTGCCTAATGCCTTGCAGAGTTACTCTAATACCCTCCAGCCCTGAGGCTCAAAGGGCATGTGTGTGATTTCACACGTGTCCACATAAAAATAATGGTGGGCCGGGCGTGGTGGCTCAAGCCTGTAATCCCAGCACTTTGGGAGGCCGAGGCGGGCAGATCACGAGGTCAAGAGATCAAGACCATCCAGGTCGACATGGTGAAACCCCGTCTCTACTAAAAATACAAAAAAATTAGCTGGTCACGGTGGCGCGTGCCTGTAATCCCAGCTGCTCAGGAGGCTGAGGCAGGAGAATTGCCTGAACCCAGGAGGCAGAGGTTGCGGTGAGCCGAGATCGCGCCATTGCCCTCCAGCCTGGGTAACAAGAGCGAAACTCCATCTCAAAAAAAAAAAAATAAAATAAAAATAATAATAATAATGGTGTACCCAAAAGTGATCCTCCTCAAATTTGGAAACCACCTGAAAAGGCCAGAAATATCTCTGTCACACATCAAACTACTGATGCAGCTTGGTTTTCCTGACTGATTCATTTTGGGAATGAACTCCTTTGGCGACCTTGCCTAGATACACCACTTTGAAATCCAATTTGGAGACCCAGTGAGTGAAATACCTATGACAAATATTCTTTGTACATCTGTGTCTTTCTGTATATAAAATCCACGTGCAAGAATGTATTATCCTAGAAAATACTGGAGAGAGGTTTGGAATTCATGCCAGTGAGTCTGAAATGCTGTATTTAAAAAGAATCAATTTTAATACATGGTGCTTTTTATTACTTTCTAGGGCCCTGTAGATAGTTTACTAATCTTAATAATCTTCAAGAACGCTGAGTATTTTAAAGAACAAACGGAAACATTACAAGTATGATATATATATACACACCCATATACATACATATATATATATACACACACCCATATACATACATATATATATATATAATCTTATTTTATGCAGAACCAACACAGTTGCCATACTAAATTTAGTGTGTGTGTGTGTGTGTGTGTGTATATATATATATATATATCCCAAAAAATTCCACAGGCCCTTGGCTGTCTCTATGACCAACTCCATCCTTTCCTATCTTTCAAGATAGGTAACATGGACAATAACTTGTGGTATTATATGTCTACATATGAACTAATGATGGTATAAATTATAGTATACACAAAATTTACTAAAAAAAGATGTAAAACATATATCCAGGCCTGTCTGTCAAGGGATTTTACACATAAATTAAAAGAGAGTACTGTTTCTTTGCAAAGGATGAATTAAAGTTCTTTGAATGCTTTTAAAAATAGGGTCAAGTTTATTCTACCTCTACAATTAAAATAGCTAAATAACTTTGCCTTGGACAATTTATTGCATTCACTTCAGGGAGAAATGGCAAGAGATACAGAGACAGACGACTCCCCAGGCTACCTCCTATTCACTTTGGGAGTTAGTGGAAGACTGTCCTCTTTCCAAAGCAGCCGCTGATGAAAGGTATCTATTAAAAAGAATTGCATTGGTTTACACTGCAGGTTGAATGGAGCATTAAACGGCTGCATTAGCATGACTGCAGTGGGAGTAATGGTCGCCTCTATAATATGGTACTAATACTTCCACATACGTGTAATGATTGCTCCCTTGTTTTTATCTAATTTGTCACGAAATGGTATCTAGCATCGCTCTGGCAAATGCCCCCCTCCCGACTCCCTGTGCCCTACCGTTTTATTCCCCCACCCCCCACCCCTGGTAAGTGTAAACAGATGAGGAAATATGTGTACTTTCAAATCGTCACCCATGTATCATGAAGGTGGGGGATTACTGCAAATGACTTGGAAACCGCTCCCCGCAGGCGTTTAGCGATACCGCCCACCTATACAGCTCAAATGTTCTTAATTTGATCACTCCCCCCGCCCCCCGACCTTTTGGGCTGTAATTTTCCAAACAGGCATCTCTCTCATCTGCAAATAAAAGTTACAAATCAATCCACAGATACAGAATGCTGACTTGCCGACACTCAATTTCACAGGGTGTCTGTTGAAGAGCTGCCAGATTGGGACTGATAACGGGGGAGAAGGAGATGGGGACCGGGCGGGAGAGAGAGAGAGAGAGAGAGAGAGAGAGAGAGAGAGAGAGAGAGAGAGAGAGAGAGAGAGAGAGAGAGAGAGAGATCACTTGCTTCCTTGCTTCCTAAGCCGGGATTTCGCCTGCGATGCGCGGCGAGAGGACTGCGGCGGCTGATTTACACAGTTGGCGCGGAGGAGGGGCCGGGGGTGCGGGGGGAACGCGCTGGCGGAGCTCCGGCGCTGGGCTGAACTGGGGGCTCCCGAGCGCCGCTCCCTGGGTGCGCGATTTGGGGGCGGCTGTTGGATTTGCATTCAGGTTCCAGCCCTGCGTTTCCCCTGTAGACTCCTTATACCCGACCCGGCGCTCCCGTTTTGGAGGAGACGTTGGTGAGTAACGTGTAATCCGATTTTAGCTATTTCCTAGGCCATTGAAGTGGCACTTTTAAAGCAGGTCAGTCTTAAAAGATGCCGCCGCCGCCGCTGCCGCCGCCGCGAGCGTCTCCTTGGCCTGAAACGTTCGGCGGTCCCCTCCCCCTCCCCCCCCCCCCCCCCCCCGCACCTTCTCCCGCTCAAGAAGTGAGGCTGCTTGAATGGGGAGCTGTCAGGGGACTCACTCTCGGCCCGGGGATCGCTTCACCTTCGTGCTCTGCCTGAGATCGCCCAAATCCGAGTGGAATTTGGTGTGCACAGCCATACTGTGTGTGCGTCTCCTCTCTCCCTCTCTCCTCCTCTCCCCCCACCTTTGCCGTCTGACCAATGCTGGGATCGAGATCTAGTCGCCCCCTTCCTGCCTCCTTTCCGCCTCTCCCCACCCTTTTCTTCTCTGGTCTACACACCGCCCACCCCCTCTCCCACCCACCTAAAGGGCAAAGAGCAAAGACACCCTGGAAAAGCAAGGGCCAATTCCATCTTCTCGGATGGAAGGAGGCCTCGGGCAGGGATTGCGCTGTGAGTGACAACCTTTCAGGAAGAGAGGAAGGGAGAGATCCGGAGATGCGCTCAGGCTTTCGGGAACAGCGAAGCCCTCCACTGACCGAGAGCACCGAGGTTTTAAATCACAGGAACCCAGTCCTGGGACACTCACTCGCAAGCCTGCCTGCCACCGAGGGCACGGGGAGCTGTGGTCGGTCCTGAGCTCCCGTCACTGGCATCGCCGCGCTAGGTGCGCGCCCGGCTCTCCCATTGGTATGCAGCGACCATTTCCCTGCAAGTCTCAAAGGTGGAAACGTTTAAACGGATTACAGGCGTGATTTGGTAGCCTTTCGGAAAGTTGGTGGTCAGAAGAGGAGAAGCTACAAGGCTGCAGTATGATGGATACAATTCAGCCTCCCAGAGAGTTTGCCCCTCCCGCTGGGAAGCCCCTTGGAGCAAACCTCGGAGATCCTGAGCGCTCTGCACCATAGGTACTCGCCGCCATCCTTTCCTACTCTGCCTAATTGAGGCCAGTATTCCTGGTATGTAGGGTGTGCATTGTAGAGCACATCGAGTTTGGTCGTGGTGTCTTCTGTACGCTCACAGGTGCTAGGGGTTTGTTGCAGTTTTGAACAGCATCAGTTAGGTGTAAGGACGTTGGTGGAAGGAGGGGTCCTGGAGACTAGCATACCCTCGGACCTCTTTTCTGGGTGAAGATATCGTAAGTAACTCCAACAAATAGGCCAGGTGGCAGAGCGAAGGACCCCTCCCCCAGTGGATTGCTCGCTAGCGTTGGAAGAGGTAGAAGGAAAAAGGCTTGAGCTTTTAATAATTTTCCATTTCTAAACAGATCATTGTGCGTTTCGCCTGACGACAGCAGATTAGAAAAGGATCTATAGACGGCTCAAAGCTCTTCAGAAAATGAATGATGCAGCATTTTAATTATTTGTTCTAGGGAAGACCGTTTTGCTTCCATATTGGAATATTTAATCTTAGATTAAATATTAGAAGAGATTAGTGAGCTGTAAGATCCAGCAGTGGGGAGGAGGAAGTGGGAACGGGGCACAGCGGGGAGAAAGGGCTTCTTGTCCTCCCTCTGGACAAACAAATGGCTCTGGGCGCTCCCAGCAGAACACGGGAAAAACCGGGGCCCCAAGGCTCAACATCCCCCAACTTTTGGAGTCTCCCTTATCCTTTAGACTCACTATCCTGAGCGAAAGGAAAGGAAGAAGGTGAGACAGCCTTTAGAACACAGCCCAGGTCCAGAACTTAAGGGGTTGGAGTTCAGGAAAGAACAGAGACTTCATTGCAGGGACAACGATTTACCGTCATCTGGAAGCTCAGGGTAGCCTCCCGGGTTACCCATCGATTCCATCACATCATGGGATCCGATAAGACCCGAGAAATAGTCACCGCCTCTGCACGTTGGGTACCCAAAGTGCTGGGCGGGGGATGGGGGGGTGCAGCTGGGGAGGGAGATGGAATTGCTCTGATTCTGAGCTTAGGCTATCTGTATTGGTTTACTTCTTGGCTGAGACCTATGGGAGCAATAGGGTGGGTCTGAAATATTAAGAGTAGAATGTTAGAAAATTCTGCCCTCCTGCTTACTTAGTGGTATGGTTGCATGTTTCTAATATTAGCTACTGTGTGGCAGTGGACTCATGTGCGGTCATTTTAAATGCAAAATATCATGGAAAATGCCTTTGGCCTTTAAGAAACAAGTAGTTGGGTGATTTATCTGATTTAGAGCGGTAAGAAAGTGATATGTAATCTGTGCTTTGCTTTAAAATTTGCTTTTGTAAAGGGTGCTTTAAGGGAAAACCATCTCTACACACTAACTTTGAGCCCTTGGGCAACTGAGGTTCAGTTTAGTTCTTTAGCAACTAGAAAGTCCCTCCCTTTTCCCCTCCTGGCGAGCTGGTGACAGGATTAGTGTGTGCTGGTGAGGGGAGATGGGGAGCATCCACAGCACAAGGTTCCTGGTCATTGAACGCCTTTGCTGCACACTTGGCGCTCCCCAGTTTCCCCACCAAGCTGCATTCCTTCCCAGCAGGCAGGACTGGGTAATGATATCTGCTGAGCCAAAAAAAAAAAATCCCTCAGAGAGGGTTCCTGAACTATCATCTGGTAGTCCTTCTACAATACAATATCTTCCTTTAACCACCTCCACCCCCACTCCCACTACTCCCTAGGATTTCCTTCCAGAAAATTTCACGGAGAAATATTTGAGTTTTAAAAAATAAGAAAGAAAAGAAAGAACGGACAAAAGCATCCAAATCCTTAAACCCACCCCAATCCCGCGAGGTCTTTCCCGGTGGCAGCACGTGAAATGTACCATTGTTACCCAACTGGTCTGTCTCTCCTTCCCAAGAACTGGCTTGTCTCTGCTTTTAAAAAGGTGGAAGAAAACAAATGCTGTTGAATCCAGGGGAAATCGAAGGCTTTGACCTGCAGCACAACAAAGGAATTCCTGGTGCAACGGGATCGAAGCAAGATGCAGAAGAAACTCGGTCCAAGTCTTTCAGGCTGTCTGAGCTCTTATTCGGGATACCCCAGCAGAATCAGCCAGATTCGGCTTTTCTGCTTTGGGGACCTGGATTTTCCCCTCATTCCCGTCATTGCAGGGAATGGCTGTCCTGTGAAAAGGATAATTCCGAAGGATAGTCTCTCTCACTTTTCAAACCACCTGCACTAGAGAGAGGAGCTTTGGAAACGAGAGGAGCAAATCATCCCGGGGATGGTTTCCTTGAGAGTAAAAAAAAGAAGAAAGAAAATGCCTATCCCCGCCCCCTCCCCCATCTCCACCTTCCCCACCAAAGAACTGTTTCCCGTAGGTTGGTCTCCTCCCCCTTCTCTCTGGTTTCTTATTTTGCCAATTTTTGTTCTCTACCCCATCCACAAATTTTATACACACACACACACACACACACACACACACACCACACACACACACCACACACACACCACTCACAATTGTATAGTCAGGGCTTCCTAGCGCTCGCTCCCGAACCCACGCTAAGCGCGTTCCCTTTGGAGCTCATATTCATGACGTGGAATGCCGGATTCAGGATTACAGCACATATATTTTTAAAAAGCCCGAACTAGAGAAGTCAGATTCTGCACTGTGATTGAGCCTTCCTTCCTCCCTGCCTCCCTCCCGCCCTTCCTCCCAGTGCCCAATGATGTGCTGTGGGTACCCAGAGAGAGCAGCCGCGTCGGCAGGGGCAGGGGCCGCGGAGCTGGGAGCCTGCTGCAGCCCCTTCTCCTCCCTCCTCTACTGAGTGTGCCAAGCGGCAGTTCTGCATGCTAAAGAAGCCCATTGAAGAGCCCATTGCATTCCCAGCACGTCTCCAGCTTGCTGCTTTTTTTTTCCTCTTAGTCCCCCCGCCCAACCCCCTTTATCCCCTTTTGCTTCAGCTTCAGCAAAGCGAAGGGAGAGGGAGGGAAAGAAAGAGAGAATCCTAAAACTCAAGCTTTTTTTTTTCTTTTTCTTTTAACTGTTCCTTCCTAATAATTAAATAAACAAACAACAACAACAACAACAAAAAAAAAACTCTGGCAAAATAGGTAAGTCCAAGACATCTGGAGCCTTTTTTGCCTAAACCACAGGGACCTGAGAGACGACAAAAATATTTAAGATGGTGAAGAAGAAAAAACTTGAGTAGATTTTAATATTTTATAAGGGAGATGGAAGACGAACTGATACTGCAATGTAGCCTTTTCTGCCTTCTCTCCCTCTGTTTCATTTAATTGTTTTCAAATTGTGAGTATTGCATGTCTGAGGCAGATTTCTCTTTGCTTTCTCACGGGATCACCTTTCTTTACTGCTGTGAACATTATATCCAAGTGTAGTGTGAAGATTTATTTTTTCACTTTTCCTATAAATCATATCATTGTGTTTTAAGTAAACGGTTGATGAAATATATCTTTCTGTGTGCTATCTGTGAGGAAAATACATGCTAGAAACTTTGGTTTGTTTTTATTGATTAAAATCAACTATTCAATTTTGATTGATATTTTAGTGACTCAGGAAGGACACTATAATGAAACTGCATTATTATCATTTATTTATGTAAACATTTTTATATACGGATATTATTAGGCACGGAAAGTGTTCCATAGAGGAAGACTCTATATTATCAGAATAGTGCACTGCATTTGTTTCTTCTGATTGGAAAAGAATATGTTTTTTGAAATGTATTTCATGTGATAGATCATTTACAGCAGGTAAAAATAGAGGTTTCCACTCTCTCTCGACTTTCACTACCCACCTCCCCTCTAACCAGCCACCTGCTATTCCAGCTTTTTACAGGGTTCCTCGGTTGATCTTGGAGGCACAGATACACATTCCAAACTAAGCTCTGCAAATGTTTTAATTCAGGCACTCCCAGACTCAGCATCCTCTAGCTGTCACTGTCTTTAGCTCTGACAATTGCATGGGCATGTTCTTTAGAAGGGCTAATCACTCCTACATGCTTTAAGTAGTCAAATTATACAAGTATATAAAAATTATTTATTTAGTTAAAGAAGATGACAATAATCTATTTTGGGGCAAAAGGATGTGGATGTATAGTGTACATACTGACTATACACTGTAATAATGCATATTATGATCATTTCATAAAAATAAACCTTAAGTTTTCCTGAGATGTTAATAATTTTACACATTTCAACATCTGATATTGAGCAATAGGCTCATACTTTACCATACTAATTAATATAATAGTTTTGGAGTATGTTATGTCTTTGTAATAGTCAAAACCTGTAATTCAAATAACATATTTTTCTCATCAGAGTTCCAGTCAGATTTATGATGAGTATATTTGATGTCAACAAGAGTTTTAACAGGCAAACAGGTGTAATGGCTACATTATCGCTATTATTACTGAGTCTGCCTATGCCTAAAAGGCAGGACCATTTACCAGTTCTGTTGTTTGTCATACAGAGGCAATGCAAGCTGCTTTTGTTCATGTGATATGCCATTTACCAATTATGGCATGGTTCAAAAAAAATGCTACTGCATGGTTCAATATTGCAGAGTCTTCTAAGTTTAAAATATAGGACACACTCTAACCATTAAGCATGTTGCTAGCTCATTTTGAGTGTCACTTCAACAATTGCTGAAGTTTTAATATAGCTCTTAAAATGCCCCACATGTAGGAGTCAATTAAAATAGTACATATGACTAAAAGCTAAAAATCTGCATTTTTATTTCTGTTGCAGTTTTGTAATCAACCGCAAACGATGAAAGCTTCCATAGCTGAGATGCTTCACAGAGGAAAGATGTTGTGGATAATTCTTCTAAGCACAATTGCTCTAGGATGGACTACCCCGATTCCCCTCGTAGAGGACTCAGAGGAAATAGACGAGCCCTGTTTTGATCCATGCTACTGTGAAGTTAAGGAAAGCCTCTTTCATATACATTGTGACAGTAAAGGATTTACAAACATTAGTCAGATTACCGAGTTCTGGTCAAGACCTTTTAAACTGTATCTGCAGAGGAATTCTATGAGGAAATTATACACCAACAGTTTTCTTCATTTGAATAATGCTGTGTCTATTAATCTTGGGAACAATGCATTGCAGGACATTCAGACTGGAGCTTTCAATGGTCTTAAGATTTTAAAGAGACTATACCTACATGAAAACAAACTAGATGTCTTCAGAAATGACACCTTCCTTGGCTTGGAAAGTCTGGAATATCTGCAGGCAGATTACAATGTCATTAAACGTATTGAGAGTGGGGCATTTCGGAACCTAAGTAAATTGAGGGTGCTTATTTTAAATGATAATCTCATCCCCATGCTTCCAACAAATTTATTTAAGGCTGTCTCTTTAACCCATTTGGACCTACGTGGAAATAGGTTAAAGGTTCTTTTTTACCGAGGAATGCTAGATCATATTGGCAGAAGCCTGATGGAGCTCCAGCTGGAAGAAAATCCTTGGAACTGTACATGTGAGATTGTACAACTGAAGAGTTGGCTAGAACGCATTCCTTATACTGCCCTGGTGGGAGACATTACCTGTGAGACCCCTTTCCATTTCCATGGAAAGGACCTGCGAGAAATCAGGAAGACAGAACTCTGTCCCTTGTTGTCTGACTCTGAAGTAGAGGCTAGTTTGGGAATTCCACATTTGTCATCAAGTAAGGAGAATGCATGGCCAACTAAGCCTTCCTCAATGTTATCCTCCGTCCATTTCACTGCTTCTTCTGTTGAATACAAGTCCTCAAATAAACAACCTAAGCCCACAAAACAGCCTCGAACACCAAGACCACCCTCCACCTCCCAAGCTTTATATCCTGGTCCAAACCAGCCTCCCATTGCTCCTTATCAGACCAGACCACCAATCCCCATTATATGCCCCACTGGGTGTACCTGTAATTTGCACATCAATGACCTTGGCTTGACTGTCAACTGCAAAGAGCGAGGATTTAATAACATTTCTGAGCTTCTTCCAAGGCCGCTGAATGCCAAGAAACTGTATCTGAGTAGCAATCTGATTCAGAAAATATACCGTTCTGACTTTTGGAATTTTTCTTCCTTGGATCTCTTGCATCTGGGGAACAATCGTATTTCCTATGTCCAAGATGGGGCCTTTATCAACTTGCCCAACTTAAAGAGCCTCTTCCTTAATGGCAATGATATAGAGAAGCTGACACCAGGCATGTTCCGAGGCCTACAGAGTTTGCACTACTTGTACTTTGAGTTCAATGTCATCCGGGAAATCCAGCCTGCAGCCTTCAGCCTCATGCCTAACTTGAAGCTGCTATTCCTCAATAATAACTTGCTGAGGACCCTGCCAACGGATGCCTTTGCAGGCACATCCCTGGCCCGGCTCAACTTGAGGAAGAACTACTTCCTCTATCTTCCCGTGGCTGGTGTCCTGGAACACTTGAATGCCATTGTCCAGATAGACCTCAATGAGAATCCTTGGGACTGCACTTGTGACCTGGTCCCCTTTAAACAGTGGATCGAAACCATCAGCTCAGTCAGTGTGGTTGGTGATGTGCTTTGCAGAAGCCCTGAGAACCTCACCCACCGTGATGTACGCACCATTGAGCTGGAAGTTCTTTGTCCAGAGATGCTGCACGTTGCACCAGCTGGAGCAACCCCAGCCCAGCCTGGAGATTCTCATCTTATCGGAGCACCAACAAGTGCATCACCTTATGAGTTTTCTCCTCCTGGGGGCCCTGTGCCACTTTCTGTGTTAATTCTCAGCCTGCTGGTTCTGTTTTTCTCAGCAGTCTTTGTTGCTGCAGGCCTCTTTGCCTATGTGCTCCGACGGCGTCGTAAGAAGCTCCCCTTCAGAAGCAAGCGGCAGGAAGGTGTGGACCTTACTGGCATCCAGATGCAATGCCACCGGCTGTTTGAGGATGGTGGAGGTGGCGGTGGTGGAAGTGGGGGTGGAGGACGACCAACTCTTTCCTCTCCAGAGAAGGCCCCTCCTGTGGGTCATGTGTATGAGTACATCCCCCACCCAGTTACTCAGATGTGCAACAACCCCATCTACAAGCCTCGGGAGGAGGAGGAGGTGGCTGTTTCATCAGCCCAAGAAGCAGGGAGCGCAGAACGTGGGGGTCCCGGGACACAACCACCGGGAATGGGAGAGGTTCTCCTAGGAAGTGAGCAGTTTGCTGAGACACCCAAGGAGAACCACAGCAACTACCGGACCTTGCTGGAAAAGGAGAAGGAGTGGGCCCTAGCGGTGTCCAGCTCCCAGCTTAACACCATAGTGACGGTGAATCACCATCACCCTCACCCTCACCACCCAGCGGTTGGTGGGGTTTCAGGAGTAGTTGGGGGGACTGGTGGAGACTTGGCAGGGTTCCGCCACCATGAGAAAAATGGTGGGGTGGTGCTCTTTCCCCCCGGGGGAGGCTGTGGTGGTGGCAGTATGTTACTAGACCGAGAGAGGTCACAGCCTGCCCCCTGCACAGTGGGATTTGTGGACTGTCTCTATGGAACAGTGCCCAAATTAAAGGAACTGCACGTGCATCCTCCTGGCATGCAATACCCAGACTTACAGCAGGACGCCAGGCTCAAAGAAACCCTTCTCTTCTCGGCTGGAAAGGGCTTCACAGACCACCAAACCCAAAAAAGTGATTACCTCGAGTTAAGGGCCAAACTTCAAACCAAGCCGGATTACCTCGAAGTCCTGGAGAAGACAACATATAGGTTCTAACAGAAAGAAGAAAATATATTAGTGCTTTTTTTTTTCAAAAGAAAAGGAAAATAAAAAAAAATATATCCCTTGCTCCCTTTACACGTGTCCCAATAACTCCATCCTCACGATCTTCCCTACCCTGAACAAAACTGAAACCGCATGATAACTAGAGAATACAGATGTATGCTCTCCCCTCTCAGATGAGATTTAGAGGAAGGGCCATACTCAGATCATTAATCAATGAAGTGCCTTCGCAGACTTTTGCCAGCAAATGTTATCATTATTTTTTTATACTGAAACTTGAGACTTTGACTGTGCCATGTATAAGGTATACTGGGGATCATTGTATTGATCCTAATCAAGTAAACTTCAGTGTGTCTTTTTATTTTCAGTAACTATTTTTTTTTTTTTAGTTGTAGTTTTGTTTGAAAGGGAGGGGGGAAACAATTTGACATTTGTCATTTGTGGCTTTCTTTCTTCTCATCATGGCACAGATTCTGTACATGTATTAACAATGCAGTTTGCTGCATGCCTGGAAACTGCAAGACGGGGAGGGAGGGGGCGGGTCTTGCTCGAATGTTCTCACTCACTCTCTTGTCTCTCACACACATATCCATCTGCAGATTGTGGTCCCTAAACCTGCAGTTTCTTCCTGCTGGTGCAGGTACACACACACACACACACACACACCCTATACCATTCCCATTCAACCCAATCTGCTTAGTTCGGGTTGGATCCATTCTCCTCTCCATAGTTCCATCACCCTTCACTGCTAGTGTACAGCTCATAGCACCTCTCCTAACACCCTGGGAAAAGTCACATTCTAGGCTGGATTCTACTGAAGTGGAGGCCTGGAGGTTTAACAGCCGAAGACACGCGCCTAGGGAAAAGCACCCTCTTTGTGACACTTCATCCTGATGCCAAGATTTTTTGGAGAACATCTGCACTTTCTTATATATATATATAATATTAAAAAAAGCAACTGGGTATATATCACTAACAGCTTTGTAGGAAGCACTTTTAATGTTTTCTCTCTCACACACAAAGATTCAAAAGAAATGTGCATATATTTATTCTGTAATTTCAGTGATTATAAATTGTAAAGGTAATGTTTAATCATTGTATAGTGATTATGCGTCTGGTATAGCTTTCCTAATAAAAAGTTTTTGAAAAACATAATACATTATATATAGAGGATACAAAGCTTGAACCTTAACTCCAGCTATGCCATGCCTTTCGTGCTCCCATTTTAAAAAATGTTTTCTTTTACTTGTTACGCAGAAAGTAACTTATTAACAGGTTTGATGCACTGTGATGTTGGTAAATCTTATGTCCCACCATCCCAAATCAAGATACAATTGAGACTTAAAATCTGACTTATAGTTTACATTTTTTTCTTGAATTATGAATTTCAATCTTAATAACCAATGATGCACTTTTTCCTAGGCAAGATACAAGGGGGAGAAAATAAAGTAACTAGATTGCTAAGAAGGACAGGATTAATTAGGAGAAGGTAATCAAAGATCCATATACTCTAAGATAATAAATGACATAAAGAAATCGGAAAGTAAAATTGCTATTGTTTTCGAAATATGTAGTTGAATTACATGCACACCCTCACACACCCCCACGCTTCCATGCACACACACACACCACCCAATAGATATGAAAGGCCTTGGAGCCAATTTAGAAAGTCAGAATCCTGTGCAAGATGTCACTTACTTAAATTTGGCTACCATTTTCCAGCCACTTACAGCAACTGGCCCCAATAACTCTTGAACTAAGACAGAGGATGCTGAATGAGTTTTTCTTCATATAATATTAAAATGACGTAGAAAAGTTAACCTGACCACAAGCGAAGTTTAGATCCATTTTTATGGGAGCGAAACCAAAGAATATCGGATTTTTACGGTGCCGGTATCATGTTGGTGGAGGAAACGAAGAAAAGACCTTTGAGGCAGGCACTTAACTAAGTAGGCCATTAGAGGGCAGCAGAGCTCCAGAGATCCACAGATCCAGGCCCTGCAGAACTGCGCATTGAGGCCAGTGTTCTCGGCTGTGTTTTCTCAAAGAAGTGCCCATAGTAGGAATTATCATTACGTGTTGAATGTAATTCATCACAAGTCACTGATGCCTTACATCACATTTTTTTTCCACAAAAAGAGAATGACTAGCAGCTTCTGAAGGTGGGTGACTAATATAATACGAAGGCATTGCAGTAAAAAAAATTAAAAGCCCCATGAATGTTTACAAGAATATACTTATATGTCTCTTGATTAACTATATGGAAATGTCAGCATAGGTATGCATAAAAACAAAAAATACAAGTATATCCATATAAAATTGCAGTTTTGGGGCACTTGACTTGTATCTATAACTTTCATGCTCAATTATTTGAATATATTTTGAAATTATTTTAGAAGGAAAAAGCCCAAGAACATCAATCACTTAATCTCTTTGTGTAATATTGAAATGAAGCTCTTATGCTGGAGAGTCAGGCCCACTATTAAATACGCGTCATTCTTCTTTTTTTATCTTCTCCTTTAAAAAAACAAAGAAACAAACAAAACTTTCCCACAAATCACTTTTCTTCTAGTTATCCCACCTTATTTGTTCTTTCTAATCATCTATTTCCTTTTTTTGAGGCATGTAAAGCCAATATTACAACTTAGGTATTTTAAAACATAAATCGCAGAGTCTCTCTGAACTAGCAATATGTCGTACTTCCATTCCTCCTAATCAAATGGTTTGAGGAATAATAGAAAGTATATGCATAGTAAAAACTCAAAGTACAAAGCTAGATACGTCGGATAACGGTCATCATTTCCTTAGTGACCGTGCACACATTCACAACACAGCATATTATAAAAATCAGGTTAAAGTACAATCTCAAAAGTCCCTGGTGCTTTCCATATTTGAAAAACGAGTGTCCTTAAAGGATATCAAATCACAATATAACTTGATGATTATAATGTTTATATTTTACTTATTAAACACAGAAAGTAAGACTGTTTGGCATTAAATATAGGTGGTACTTTCACCCTTGAATGAGGAATAAATTTATTTATTTAGTGAAAATAAATTTATATGAGAATGGAATTTTGTATTTAAGGAAATAGTTTTTTGCTTTTATGGAATTTTCTACCCCCTGGTTAGGACATTTATTTTTGCTGTGCATTAAAATTACCTAAGTTAGTTTCAATTTATAATACCAGATCTGTCTTCATTAGACACAATGGATATGAATGTAGGTACTATGATTATAACATGCTTTATGTTTTTGCTGCAGTAAACATATTTATTTTAAAGAAAAAGTTAGATTACTAATTCACTTGATGGTGATTACTAACTTGACTGAAGCAGACCCAGATCTGACAGGTATTTGCTGTTATTCATCACTATTTTTATTATTAAGTATAGTAATAATATTTAGAAATAATAAAAATATTGTAATATCTCAAACTGTAAGAGGTTAATGAGAAATAATTGGAAATGAATTATTAATTTAATTCAATAACAGTTTTAACATTATGTTATACATCACATGTGGTATTATTTATGTGGATGTTTTTATATTTTTATTTAGAATGCAATATTATTTTATCTAATTGCAAATACTTAAAAATAAGGATGATGAACACTATAATTTTAATAAAGTTTAGAGAGAGAGAATCAAAAGGAAAACTTAATGACTGAGCTTGAACATTTTTTTAAACCCTTGATATTTGAAAAGAATATGTTTAGGATTATAAAAATTTATAATGCAATTATAGAAGAAAATAACTTTAACCATCACAACACATTATTTCCATTCACTTAGTGTAAATTCATTATTTGTCTTTTTGCAATTACGTTGTTGAAGCCAATAAATGGACTTTTGTGAAATGGCTATGACAAAAGAAAAAAGAAAACATTAATGACATGCTGCACGACATTTGAGAAATGTGACTATAACAAGTTAAGATAATGTGAGAGGAAATGGTAATCAACGGACACTCCCTCTCAAGTAATTTGAGCTAGTTTCATTCAAACTTAGACTTACACCTAGCTTAAAATTTCCAACTGTGAATATGCAGGTAAACAGGACATAAATAAGTATCACTAAAATCACCATTTTCTGTTCAATATACTATGTTCTGTTCCATATTCTATAGGCCTTTTAAAAGTAATAGGAGCAATAACACATGTGTAATTGGGTCATCATGTGTGTGTATGGGTGTGTGTGTATAGCACTATTATATATGTATATACGTTGTATATACATGTAGTTTATATATGCTGAATTTTACTTCTATGTAAATTATACATTTTTATTACATGTATAACAATTTCTCTTTTATGCATTTATTTTTCTTGCTTCTGTCTAGCAACCATCCCAGAGAAGCTAGATGAAATTATGAGTCATCACTTTGGGAATATTCACCTGTAAAAAGTAACACTGTAATTAATATTTCTGAATTTAAAAGTTATTTTATCTTCTAATTTGTTTCATTTTGTTGTTTAACTTATAGGGGATACATCTCAGTGAGACTGTGATTCCTTTTAAGTCTTCAGAGCAAAGGAACTAATTTCTTCCTATAAGTAAGCAACATACGTCTAATAAAAAGCAAATACTTCATTTTTCATATTTCAATTAATAGAATAAATTTTACAGGTAAAAACAATTTTAGTAACTTCATTCATTAGATAAGACCTTTTAAATTTATCTAGGTCTGTAGGAAAAGTGAGATCTTAAAGGTGAAATATAAGAGAAGTAAGGGCCAGTTTAAGACATACAACATCCTGTCTTACTTTCAAAACACCATGCTTAGTTTGAAATGTTTGACAGTAGTAGTAGTAATAATAATAAAATATCATTTTTAGTTTGCTTATAAGGAAACTGAATTGAAGGGACATATTTTTATATGGAGAATTCAGGTGTATACCGGGGTTAGTAGTTGTGAAGAGGCAACATGTTATGGCCATCTTCTTTAATTTTGGTGATTTTTACTCCTGAGAATACATATTCTTGAGAAAATGTATTTTTTATTACACTTACATAGATTATTTTTTACATTAAAAAAATTTCAAATAGAAAGTAGTTTTGTGGTGGATTTCAAAGACGTATAGCCACAAAGGCATCATAGTAGGTTTACAGTTTGAACCAAACCAGCCCCTGTAGTACCTTTAAACATTAAAACCCAATGAATGTTAGAAGAAGAATTTCTTCTTCACCACCCAGTAACAGAAAGGCTCAACGTGCCTGATTAAATGTTTTTTAGTATATTTAGTCTATGCACTTACTGCTAAGATGAGTAGTAAAATGAATTGATGAGTTTGCAATGTATTAAGCTGTATCAAAACCAAACAAATTTTATTAAGAAGAATGTGCTATTGACTTAGATAAAAACAAACATGACTACTTTATTTCGACTCAATAATAATGATTAGGAGATTGGTCTCTTGACAATGAAAGGCATTCTATTACCTGTATTATAGTGTGTTATGGGTGTACACAGAGCTTTTGTTCTTCTGATACATTTTGCTAAGAGGTTCAGACTCTAATCTTGCAAGTTTAGCATGATGAAGAATGAAGAAATACTGCATAATTATTTTTGGTAGCTTTGAAACAAGAGCATAACTTCCCTAAACCTGAGGATGACAAAGTTAGCTCTGAAAAAAGATGCTGAAACAAAGTTGTCACCTGATTGTGCAGAGATGGAAAGAGGTTCTGTTCTTCCTCCAGAACTTACTGCTTTCACTATTCCTGACATCCCTGCTTCTACTTCTGTTTCTGACTCAGTGCTGAGATATTTTTATGACTAAGGACATATTCATTGAACTCAAATCAGGTGTCAAAGCATGAACGGAAATTGATGCCAATTCTTATGCCCAGTAACAAAATGCCTGAGTCACTTATTTTTGTACCTAGGCTGAGAAGATAATTCAACATATTTCCCTTCATTGTGATATCATTCATAAGTCCAATTAAAAAAGTCAGAATCTATGGTAAAACTAACTATTTCTGGAAATTAACAAAATCATTTAAGTGTTTTAAAAACATGAAACTCAACTTTAAAATCTCAAAACCTTGCTTTTCCTTTTCTGAAATGTTCTTTATCTTTGCTGTGGCATCCAAAATATTGGCTTCATTAAAGCTACCAGAATCCACATATTGTTCATACTTTTATTTACAGTGTAAACTTTGACTATTCAGATGTTATAGTGCTACATAGAATTCTAAGGGTTGTTTTCTCTCTCTCTCTCTCTCTCTCTCTCTCTCTCTCTCTCTCTTTCTCTCTTAGAATTCTGGCAAAACAGTTTATCTTAAAATATGTTTCTTTTTGGTCTGTGGTAACTAACTCTATAATAAAAACAAGTCCATCAAAGATATAAACTATTAACAGATTCTGTAATTTTTGTAAAAAATAGAAGACCTTAAAGTCCATCTAAATTCAATCCTTTATATGTACTAAATCCAGTTGGAATTTTTTTTTCTCTTCAAGTTCTCTGCTTCACCAGATTTGAATTCAAAATTGAAATCTGTTCCTCTGTTTTCTGACACTTCATTTGTTGTCTTACTTTTTTAGCTGTAAATTTAAAACGTAGATAAAGAAAATGTTAATTCCAGGTATAAGTATGAAATCTGTCTATGGAATAACCAGGCCCATGAATCTTTCACTTTTTCTTCAGGAAATCTTATTTAACAAAAATGACAATGGAAAGATGGGGGCAAAATGAAAATGCCTTCTCTTTCTGAAGACCGTTTTAGAAAGGCTTACTGGAGAAAGTCTGAACTAGGTTTGTGTATTACCTCTAGGTGTCCTATCTTTCGAGGGGTTTAAATCCCACAGTAGGTTTACTGTGCCTTTCGATATGATTCTAAGCCACTTCAGTTAGCATCTGTTAACAAATTCACTGAAAATTAAACCTTAATGATAACCAAACACATTATAATTAAAAGTAAACATTATGCAAAAGATCACTAGGATGAACTGAGTTAAGTGCATTAAAACATTTGGAATAGTTCATGGTACACACGTGTAAAATAAACAAGGAGGTCTTCTTTTTGTCTTTTCAATATTAATAGCTTCTTGTATATAAACAAGAACTCGTTTCCTGCTGGTTAATATTTGGGCCACCTTAAACTAACTGTGTCCTTAGTCCATTACTAGAATGTTTGTAAGAAACACAACCAATTATTAATTTTAAGGAAAACTTAATTATGTATTAAAATTATTATAATTTGTTGTGTATTTCAGAACAATGCATATTCAGAGCCAAATATGCATAGCTTAAAGTATTTTTATTACCTGTAATATTGCTCCCCCATTTGTTTTTATGATTTGAATTTCAACAGTATGAATGATACTGACAATGCATTGGGTCATACACATTTCTCTCTTTATAAATGTGGATAACTGATAACGGAACATTGCTGAAATGAATGCTGGAAATATATTTACATATAAACACATATATATCATCCATATTTTTATGAACATCATCTACTAACATCTTTATGAAATAAGGAGTGGTTTACATACTACATTATTGCACAAATGCAGTTTTTAATAAAGGTTTAAATTTAAGGTTCAAAATAAGGTAAGAAGTGGTATGGAATGTTGAACAATATATACAAATGTAATTGGTAGTATTTTATTTGTTAAATGAATCAGACTTGAGTTTGTCTCTTACTTCTCATTTTAATTTAAATGTGGATACCCAGTTGAGGTACACCTTTCACTAATTTTATCCCATTTAAAAAATATATATGTGAGCACTTCCACAAAGCATTGTGTCCTAACTCAAAGCAGGTAGCATGGGGATATTGGTTCTGTGGAACTTTTCTTCAAATTGCACTCTGCCTTTCCTAACTGCAACATGCACAGATCTGCTCTTATATCCACTGAAAGGGACAGCACAGAAAAATGAAAAGAAATGTAGAAAACAGAAAATGACGAGAGAGAGAAGATAATGTGTAATCAGCTGGGGAAAGACTTCTGAGGTAATGCTCATATGCCTGCTCATCAGTCACCATTTTGAGAAGTATTATTCTCAGTAAATATCTTACCAAGCAAATACTTTATCTTTCAGAATATGCAGTTTGTTTATTCCCATGTTTATACAAATTACTGTGGTTATTCTTTTATCTCCTGAAAATACGCATCTTTCATGGATATCAAAATTCAGTTTCAAATTCCCTTCATGCAATAGGGTATTGATACGGTAAACTAAATTTTGACTGTTCTTTCAAATACTCATGCACACTATTTATGCTGATTTGGGTATGCTAGAATATTTTACCCTAAGTGTCCTTCAGTCATTTCGCCTTCTGTGCCAAGAATTCCAGCTTTTCAATTGTGTTGTAAGCACTTGAGAGCACAGATTGGCTTCAATCTTTTGTAGCCCAGTATTTAGGATCATATTTTGCACAGGCATGGGCAATACATTCTAATCAAACTTCTGAGTTTCATGGATCTTATCCTTTTTCTAGAATAGCCACATTACGACCTTTCTTTCCATTATTTCCAATACAGACCCTGAGTAACAATAAACACTAACTAAATATTTTTTGAATAAATTAATGGACAGAGTTTCAAAATATGTGTGGCCTATGGATTCTTGCAAAAGTTGAAAGTCCTTTGTATGCAACCCAGAGAAATGATGAAAAGGAATGGAGTTTGGAGTGTAAGAGAGGTTGTTGGAAATGTGAAAGTATGAGAAATGTGATAATTCCTTTTACTTTTCTTAAATTTATTTATTAGCAATATACATGCTGACTAAATAAGCAAAACACATGCTGACGAAATAAAGACAGAGGAAATTGAGTAATATGAGCATGTCTCCAAAGAGAAACTAGGAAGGAAGGAAAGAAGGAAGGAAGGAAGGAAGGAAGGAAGGAAGGAAGGAAGGAAGGAAGGAAGGAAGGAAGGAAGGAAGGAAAAAGAGGAGCTATCAAACGTATTTAAATGCTCCTTCGTAATAGACAAAGCAGAGGAAGGAACATGGCAAGCACTATGCAGATGTGGTGTAGTGAAGCTTTTGCCCAGTTGCTTAAATGTTTACAAATAAGAGCAATGATTTAGTGAGCTCTGCTGATGTGTCTTCTTTGTTATAATTGCTTAACAACAGGTTCTACCACCTCACTGCAAATTTTATTAGAATGTTAATCCAGCCAAGATTATTAAAATAAAATAGAGCATGTATAAAAATATTGTACATATCACCTTCCTTTAAAAAAAAGAGCAGTTCAAATACATTTTTATCTGTTCTACATAAGACAAATGTATAAGAATTCACAGTTAGATGTTAGAATTTGACTAGCTCCATTCTGTTCAGTTCTAACTGTTGTGGACAAAGGTGAGGTGTAACCAGATTATGCACAAAGGATTGCAGAGTTACTCATACAGATTAATATATGAAATAGATTTCTGCCTTGTAGGATTCAGCTTTTAATGCATATCCAATTACATTTTCACTTAGGTAATATGAGGCCTTACAAAGAGAAGAAAATGCAACTGTATTCTTATTAAACTTTCATTCTTGAAATGCGATCACATTCTCTTCTAGCTCACTGAAAAATATAGTAATCAAACAGAGTTTAACTGATGGTAAATTTAACCCAAAAATAACTATTTAAGGCAGTTATAAGAACAACGGCATACTTTATAAAATAAACTGAGGGTAAATATTTTTATTAAAGATATGAACATCCATGTGAAAATTCAGAGTGCTTTTGGGGTCTGGAAGGTTGGCATGTTGGTCCTCCACCTTGGTTGTCTTGAATGTTTGTGTTAAAACTGTATTTTATTGTCATTTTATTTCGTCTTTGAAATATACTTGTGTTTGAATTCTAATCTTACTAGGGAAAAAAATAATCCTGAACTTTATATTTACATTTTTAATGCATTTAGAGTCTAATTTAATTATTTTAAAAGTTGTTTTGCAAAAGTATTGTATAAAAGGGATTGCAGAATTTCAAATTATTGTCAAACAAAATAAATGGCATGTAACCCAGCATGTCTTAGAATTTAACACAAGGAGTATCTTTCTAGTCAATAGAATCAGGGATATAAGGCTAATAAATGCTTCAAATATAAAATAGGCTTGTATAAAATTAACATGTAAAATATGATCACTTAGGATGATGTAATATGTTGGGATTTTAAAGTAAAAAATATGTTATATACATATACATATGTGCACCAATATGCTACATAATTTTATTACTATTTTTACTAATATAAATGCCATGACAAAATATAAAAAGGTTAATATACAACATACAAAAGTTTCATATCTTAACCCCCTATGAAAGTCAGTAAACCTTTTAACTTGAATTTCTCTGAATAATTAACTGTGGTGGGCTGAGAGAATATCTGGTGACAATTAGCAACTTCTAGGAAAAGGTTTTCCATGCCTTAAACATGTTCACAGTCAGACCTAAGTTTTATTAGATCATTATAAGTTATTGGTATGTTCTTTTTTGTTTGTTGGTAATTCTGATTATAATGTAATTGAAGAGTTGTTTGAAGTAGTTGATGAGCTCCTGTAACTATGATATGCGTATTCTGCTCTGAGTCAATATTTTGCATGAATTACGCTTCTATCTTAAAAGACCAATTTGCTGAAAACAAATGAAGAATAGACAAAGAAAAACTCAACAGACTTTCTCTTTAACGTGAATACTATAGGTATTTAGACTTCCTCTGCCTCCTGCTATTATCAAGTGAAGTGACCACTAGATAGAAAAACACTACTGTAGCCTGTAATCTCATCCTTCTGTCCGTGTTGCTCCAATAATGCTACTATGGTTTAATAGAAAGCAAAGTCTAAATAAGAATCTCATAGATAACCACAGATAATAGGTCTCCCTGCTAAATACCCAATTTCCCATATGAAAACAAGACACAGAATACCAAGATGAGTGGAGCTATGCAATTCAGCTTGAAAATACTCAAAGGTTTCTCATTAGTTTCGGTTTGCTGCTACACTTTAGAATGTGTGGCGTAAGGCTAAACTTCAGAGGTATGTCTTTATCATCCAGCTACCGCTTCATAAGAAAAGGGAGAATGAAGATCTGTGTTAAGAATTGGGACCTCTGCTAACGATAATTCTTCAGGTTAGCCTTTTGGGTCTCAAACTCTGTAAGACATCATGGTGAAGGC